GTTTTAAAGAATTCAGTTCTGGATTCGTATCCGAGACATGTCTGGATTGATCAAGTTCAAACTTCACACACACATGGTACATCATGTCACAAATAGATATGTGCATTTGTTTCATGATCCGCTTAACAATAGCTGAATGATGGCCATTTTAAGGCCGAAAAATGCATCAAAATCACGTATTTTCACAATTCCGAACCGGATCTCAGTCATGCATGAATGGATTTTGTTCAGATTTAGTACAATGTGTTGTACATATGCAGATGCATTTCGGATCAGACCACTGAAAGTGGTCTGAGATTTTGGTCATGATCTGCTTTGAATGTATATGTCACTCAAATATGAACGGAATGGGGATGTGTCATTAACAATGACTAGTTTTTCCTATTTTTACTCAAATTTTGATCAGTAGCCAATATAAAATTCTATCAATTTGCTCCAAAATTAAAGCGCGGGACTCATCATTTGCGCATGCGTCAGATTGCATGTCGTTGTTTACAAACAAGCATCTCCCATGAGCTTTTGCGTTTTTAGTGTGTGTTGTCGTCGCTTGGGACTCAATTCCCGCGCGTGCGCAGGTGACACCCCTCTCGCTTTAACCAAAATAATATAGAAAATGTTATCGCAACATTTTGTTCATTATGTAATTTTCAATATTTTTTGGGTTCATTTTGGACTAAATGGGTATAATTTACACACGTATACAGGTATTTATCTAAATAATTGAAGAAATATGGAAAAAATTATGCACAATATCACGACAACAAAATCTATACTCAAAATGTTACAGTTTAAACTAAAACAAGTACTGGTATACCTGGCTAACGGTAAAATACTTTTATTTTAGCTGGATTTATTTTTTGGCTGAAAAGACATTTTTGCCGTTTTATGTGGAGATTATTTTCACTGTTTTGTTGAAAACTCACTGACTTGAATGAATGACTTATTTTCAACGATTTATCCCCTCAGCGAAAATAAATTTTAAGTGATATTAATGTACTTTAGAAAACATGACAAGTGATGGTTCTGACTGAAATGACTTCATTATTGTTGTCATATTTCTAACAAAAATTACTGACCCGATCATGATATAGTCACCGACATTACTCATGATTTCAACATCAGATTAACTTCCATTTTCTGATTGGTTCGTATCTTGTCATACTATCAATTAACATGCATACAAGAGATAAAAACTCAGATCCAAACTCACTTTCTACTTGCCATGTTCTGTTGCGGTTGTCCTAGCATAATTTCATATTTGTTGGTGTATTCTTTCACTTTTTTACCCTTTGCATTCTCACTTGTCATCTCCGGGAAGTATGTTAGGATCTCTGTAAGCTGTTTGTTTTCTCCAATCATGTAAGAATGTAAGGCACTCACAATAAGGGAAGAGTCATTCAGTTGCTGCAAAAATAAATTACATATGATTATTTTACTTGATAAAACAGCTTCAATAGCCTGATCAAATTTTTTTTTCATTTCAGGGAAATCAATTCTTCACTAGGAATTTTCGCGATTTGACTTTTTATGAGTGTTCGTGACAATTTCACGCAAAAGGCATTGTTACTGCTGGATTTATCGAATACTCTATTTACTTTAGAACTGATATTCCATTGTGTGCAAAATCTCTCGAATTTTTTTTTTCAGTGTGCGCAGGGGCCTGTCTATTTGAAAAGTTGTATTTTAATCAAGCATACAATAATGTAACATGCATGTGCTCTTATTGAAAATGAGCAAATATGGTAAAGTACCACTGTTGAATTTTCACTACTACATTTCATGAATTTCTTTGTTCGAAATATACATCATGATTTGTGTCTTCTATTATCAGAGTAGTTTACACACGATGTTTGAAATTTAACAAAATTGTGTACTAGACACCAGGGCAGGCAGCTTTCAAATTTCACCGGCCTTGCCAGAAAGTTAACAGCCCTGCATTAAATCTCATTTTCAAATACCGTCCACCCAGGTCATAACCCCTCCCCTAAATTTTTAGACATTTAACGAGTTAAGGGCATCCCCATTTTAAGTTATAGGCCCAGGGTGTTTTTACTGTTGTGTTTCATTGCATAAAAATCACGATTGGTATGGTAGTTCTCTTTTTGAAGTGTACGGTTGCCCAGACACGGGCCGTTTGAATTCTAAGTAAGCACACTAAGTCACTTAGCAAAGTGAACAATAACAAAAACAGTCTGAATGATTTCAATGTATCTTAGGTTTTCACTTTCGTCTAGATCCGAGAAGTCAGATTTTCATTTAGAATGAGATTCATCTGTAGTTTCTAATACTATTTAGGATTGTGCCATATTCAGCTAAAATTGTAACCACAAGAAAACTTTTCAACAGAGACAACAATGACTTCAACAATGAGGACAGACATTTTCCCCTCCTACATTTTTTCCTTTATCTAACAATATAGGCTGTGCAAAAACAAACAAAAAAAAGCGTTTGTACGCACTGAATTTGGAAACATATTTGACCAGAAGATTGTTCTTCCTTTTTCTGTGCCTAACTTACTCAGAATAAAAATATGACCGGTAAACATTAAATCATAAAATAAATGGAGGCTTTTGCATATTAAAATTGTGCATTTTTTGGTGACAGACAACAGGGTTTTTCATCGTCTACTCTAACACTGCGCAAATCTGATTTAATTGCAGGTTTTAACTCACCACATTTTCAGCGTTGATGTCGCCATTCTTAGCGGTTACTATGGGAACTTTGCGATAGGGTGAAAATTTGATTTCCTTCCTAAGAACCGGATTCACTTCAACAACATCGTATGAAAAGCCATAAAAATCGAAAAACGCTCGAACTTTCCGACAAAATGGACAAGTGTGGTATTGGAAAATAGTTAGTTTTAGGTCATTCATGTTTGCTGGCCCCTGTATGTGCGTTACACTTTGCAGGTCTTTGGAAATTTGTTCTTTTGCCTCCAACTTCCGGCCGAGCAAAACATACGACGAGAATGCAACAGCCGATGCGCCGGCCACAAGTGAAATCGTTTGCGTTTTTCTATGGTTTCGAGGTCTGTTCGTTTCAGTAGACGAGTTTCTGAACGTATAACACATTCCGATCACAGTCTGCGTCCTTATACAGCGATATTTGGCGACAGGTTTGTGAAAAGTCCCCGCAAAACGTGACACCATGGAGGTCGCCATATTGCCCACTGAAGTTCGGAATGTGGCATGCTGGGAAGAAAAATGAAATAGAACAGAAATTAGAATGAACGTGGTGTTCGTCGCGCAGCGCTTGTTCGAATTTCATGTAAATAAACAATGTATTTTACACGCGTTGTATACGTCGCTATGAGTCCGATATCGAACAGGACGCGGCACGACGACTGCCGCCCTTTAAGGTTTTATGAATGTAAATAAACATTCCCACTTAGAGATTGGTCAGTTACTTCGGCCTAGGGGGGTCGGCAGATTCTATTTTGCCAGCTGTAAATCTCAGTTGACCCACCCCCTATCAAATAAAAAAAAGTGGGTGACCCCCCCTCAACATTATATTTTAAAACATGCTGCCCCCCCCCCAAATAACAACAACAAAAAACAAAGAAACATTAACAGTTTTGGCTCTGACATGATTACAAAATGTATTATATGTGCATTGAAAATAT